TTTATATTAGAAATAACACACCAAGAGTCAACAACCATCCTTGGTCGTCTCACCTCCAACCGACCAGCAAACATACTCCACTGGCCATCTTTGGCCAACTAACCTCTAACCGGCTAACTGATCATCCTTGGTTGTCCAACCTCCAACTGGTCAACTACCTCAACCAGTCGACCGACGAACTATGTTGAACAAAGAACATTTGAACGATAGATCCACACAACAAAATACTAGAATACCCTCTGCTACTCTCCTTAAAGTGAGGGTAAAAATATAATTTATATCTTTATCCTTTTATCTTCTATAAATATGAACACTAACACTTGTAAATGGGTATCTTGCTCTTCTCTCTCAACCTCTATCATTTAGGGAGAACTTGACTCGACCCGCAACTACGTAATTTTTTAAATCCAAAAAGATGGCCAAAATGTTGACTCAATTTATATTCAGTGGCTAGTGTGCAAAATAAATGTGTGATTACATTGATTAATAGTTCACAAACTAGAGGTACTACGCAACTATATTAATCGTTTCAAGTAATATAGAGTTTTCTTTAAACCCCCCAGTATCAAACCATAGCGAATAAGGAATTTACTATGCTAAATTAGAAATATTTGGACTTAAACTGTAAATTAAATTCGCAGGAGAATAATATCGAACTGTTTGTAGGAGATTATAATTAAATTTATTATTTCTAGTTTAAACTAAACGTAAAAGCAAAGTCTCTAAATTAAATATTTGTAAAGGTGTACGATGATAATAAAAGGTCTTTACTCATGCAATGAGATTGTAAATTGGTGCAGGAATCTAATGAATAATAGATAAAAATGAGGTATAGTGATAAATCTGAACATAACTATTATTTACCCCTTCTGAGCATAAAGAACATTGGCTAATCTAAAGTTAGTTCCAGCTTGTGTGGTTTCGCTGAGTAGATTCTAGCCTTTCACTTATAGATTACCCACTGTACCCTCTCTATAGGACTAACAAGGGACCATTAGTTCCAACTTTAGACCAAATTGGTAAAAGATCTATCCTTTCACCCTAGAAACACTAATTATACGCCCTTCAAAACTTATCTCCCTATCTATTTGCACTCCCCCTGGATTTAGCATCCCTTCCTCTAAGGTTTAGTATGGTACTCACTAGTTAGTGAAATCATAGCCCTCTAAGGTCATTATATTTCGCAACGGATTTTAAAATCACAAATGACCAGTTTACAAAGTAAATGAAGAACCGGTAAAAATACCATTACAAATTGTTTGAATAAAAGAAATCTTCAAAACATTCTAATCCCACACATTATTAATTCTTACTATAAGGAGAAAGAAAAGAAAACTACTCAAAAGGCATGGGAATAACAAAACAAAGCATTTATGCATAAAAATCAAGTTTACAAGATAAATTTTAAGAAAAGTACAAATACTTATCTCAAACTTCTCCCAAAACAATCCTCTAAAGTTTTCTGATAAACTTGACTCTACAACAATCACACGAGATTCTACAACCAAACTTTCATTATAGTGGTAGCCCACCCCTATAGTGGCCTAAACTACTAAGAAAAAGTTTTTCTCTTTTTCTCCTCTCTTGGATGTGTAAAAATGTCTTCTTTATATTGAGCTCTGAAAATAATTAGAGGTCACTTAAGGAAACTTTTTGAAATTCATCCAAATTCATTGAATCTTCGTGAAACCATTTCTGGCACCTAAGCGCCCAACCGTCGCGCCTAAGCGTCGGCCTTCTAGAATGTCCTGGAGCCTAAGCGTCAGGTCACATTTTTGTCCTTTGGCTTCATTTGACCCATTTTTGCTCCCTTTTGTTTCTTTTTCTCTTAAACTCCAATTATTGTACATGAGATCAAAAACACACAAAATGTCTTTAATTAAAGCACAATGTCATTAAAAATAAGTATAACATACACACAAAAATATGTAATTCAATTAACTCAAACTTAAACGTTATTTGTTCTTAAGTAACCCTTGTATTATTTAAAGCAAATATCATAACTTATGATAGTGGGTTTCATTTAAAAATTCTTACAGTGTTGTCCCACAAATGTGATAGTGAAACTTTTAGAAAAATTTTAACTAACTCAGGTTTAAACTAAAATATCAGGATATTCAGTAATCAAGTTACGAATTTTGATTTTCTATTTATTTCAAAAATCACTCTAATTTGTCACACTAAAGAATTTTAGAAGAATTATGAGAAAAGAATTATAGGAGAACTCTACTAGTAAAGAGGCTAATACTTTTAAAGTTTAGAATTGTAAATAAGTTTTTTTTCTTTATGAAAATTCAAGTGAAGCCAATTTTTAATTTGACATCTCCTCAAGCTTCTCCCCATAAGTTTTTCTTTTTTTTGGTTTTCTTTTACTTTTGATTTGTTCTTTCCTTTTTCTTTCAGGATCATTTTCACTCCTTTCTTTTGATGTCTTTTTCATATGTGGATTACTATATCTGGATAGTCTTTAATGATTTTGAACTTTAATATCCTCTTTCTAAAGTTAAAAATTTCTCACATTTCTTTACTTAAAAATTTGTAGAGGTACAATAATAATTTTACATAAAGTCTTGAATTCTTTTTAAAAGTGTAGCTCTAAAATCTTTAATGTTTCAAAAATACAATTTTTTTGTACTCTAAATAGTAAAAACATATTCATATACTTTTATACTAAATATCTTAACTTTTAGAGTTACCCTTCATCACTAAAAACTTTTACATAAGTTTACTACTACATTGATAAAATCATAAATATAATTATCTAAAGTTAACACCACTTACCAAAGGTTGTGTTAAAATAATTTTAAAAATATATAGTTTATTGAAGACAAATAAAGTTTAGTTTTTAAAAGTTTTTTCTCCCTCCCCCAAACTTGAATTTTTAAATAGAGTAAAACATTAAAGTACAAAAAAAGTATGAAGAGAGAAAATTTTATCAATTTTAATGGGATAATATAAATATAAACAGTACAGGTATAAGCAGTAAAAGGTGTTGAGTAGTAGTACATCTAAAAATCAACAAGATAAGAATGTTATCTAAAAATTAACAAGATAAAATAGTAGTATATCGTAGAATGTGCAACGTCAAAGATTACTCCAACACATAGGCAATATAATCTAAACTAGAGCAAAAGTAACATTTATGCACCAAGATAAGTGTAACTGCAACAATCTCACATAGATATATATAAAAAGTGAGTAAATAGAGAAAGATTACATGTAAGATCTATAACAGAAAAGTAAACTCTATCTAGTGATCCTCCTCCTCCTCATCATCATCATTAGAAATGTCCTCATCCATTGACTTACGACATTTATATGGAAAAAAATTGAGGGCAAGTAGGAAACTCAACTTAGTGATCACTCTTCAAAAAATTCACTAATGACTCATCATAAATCGCATTGTATTTAGTCTTCCCTGCAAGTATTTTTCTACATGATCATATATGTCTTCCATATCTTGCATTCGACATTTTATCAAGAACAGTTCGGACTGGTGTTCCAAATATCTCTCACTCATTACATCCCAAAAAATAGTAGGTGGACCAAAAGTACTGGAAGCAAAATATCTAGAGGTAGAAGTAGATGGATTGTTAGAAGGTGTGCCTCAATATCTTCTACAAATATCCACATTAGCCTATTCAATAGGCTTTAGTGGTTTTAATTGTTCCTCCCAAGTCTCATATTTTACAAACACACACACACACACGCACACACAAATATATAAATATATATATATATAGAGAGAGAGAGAGAGAGAGAGAGAGAGAGAGAGAGTGAGGGAGGATATCAGAGTCACATCAAATTACCGCTTTCGATCACTTTCTATTTAAGGAAAAAAAACTATAAACGGAAACGTTTTATTTGGGACCAGAAATGCAATGTGCGCAACAACTATAATAAATGCTAAATTTTCGTATTTAATTTTTTTTTTCCAAATACTTTTAATTCCTTAAATTCTGTTCGCTGCTTCAATGCCGCAGACGTGCAGAACCCGAATTAACGACTTCAGTTATGCATCTTCAACTTCTTAATGATTTCCCACACGCAAATGGCCTCATTGATTTATTTTAAATGTCTGTCTTCCACTCGCTAAACTTTATAATTAGTTGGCGTTGTCTTCTTTATATAAATTAGTTCTTCCTTTCTTGCAGATAGTGTTGTTTATGTTATCACTACAATTAGAAACTATTATTTTTTGATAAAATAAAATAAAATAAAGTTTGTTTACTTTCTTCCACTCACCTTGCCAATTGCCACTAAAGGGGCACGAATATTACGTTTGCACTCCTGGATGATTAGAAAGTGATTAAGATAAATAACAGCTAAAAGTGAAAACTAGTAGCTGATTATTTATATGTGGCCGTTTTAGTGTTAGTTTATAAAATTATTAAAATACTTTCTAATTATTTAAAATTGAACTCTAATAGCTCTCTATAAGGGCTTTAATAGTGTTTTAATATTTCTGTAAATTCTGAGACTAATAGGATTTCATGTAAATAGTCAAGTACTATTTTGATTAAAAATAATTTGTGGATAAGCTAGGTGCGATGATCATTAAAATTTTTTTCTTTTTGGAAAAGCACAACTGCAGCCGACAAGCTGCTACCGGTGTGAGAACGCTCTTTTCAGCATTTTGAAAACGCATAGCGTTTTGATAAATAATAGATTTAACTTTCTAGTTTCAGCCCAATTGTCTTATAATAAAATTTTGGCAAAAAAAAACTTCCTAGAAAATCTAAAGACAAGAAATTAGATTAAAATTTTAATTTGGTAAATTCAATTTCAAATAAATACTGCAAAATAATCGATTTATTATTTACACAACACACAAAATAGAAATTAAAAAAAAAAATTTAGAAATTACAATTTCATCACTGAAATGGCAACACAGCTGTATTTCACTAGAGACGTCAGTGGGCCCCACAAAATTGTCGACGCGTCCCCCTTCCGCTCCTCCCACCTCGCTATAAAGCCGGACACCATAATGAAATCCACGCGACATAAATCAAAAGTGTCTTTCCTCCCTCCCTATTGAATCTTCTCCGGATTTATTGGACACCGTAATTTCGCCATTCCATTCTTCTTTTTTAAAATATATAAATATTTTTTTTATTCCCTTTGCTTCTTTTTTATTTTTCCTTTTTCAAATTTCCTCCGCAGCTCAATTTCTTCTATTTTGTCTCTCTGATCGGCTTTATAATTTATGCTCTTTTTTGCTTTGAATTTATTTGAATTTATGAATAATTGCAGGAAATGGAGTCCGTCCAACGGCTGAAATCAGGGTTCGAGCAGTTTAAGAAGGAAGTTTATGAGTGCGTTTGTATTTTTTCCTCTTATTTTCTGCTTTAAGAAATATAGTAGTTTCAGTTTTTTCCACTTTATTCTTCTCCTTTGAATCGTTATCTGTTTGAAGCCATGGAGGATTCGTGTATATTCAGATACAATCATATTTAATAATTCATTAATTTCATGATGTGCGTTAATTCTTTTTTATTAGATTGTTTCTGATGCAGTTGTTTGAAGAAGCAGTTATTGTTCATGATTTTTTTGGTTCAATTTTTCTGATAGGAAGAAGTCCGAGGTGTTTAAGCAGCTTGCCGAAGGCCAGAGTCCAAAGGTAAGTCTTTGCATTTAATTTCACTAAACATCACCTTATAGGGAAAATAGCAAAAAATTAAAATTAAAATTCAGCCGAATTATAGTTAAAAATCTCAGTTTATTTTAAGTAATTTATTATTATGTAAATATATATTGATTCGTTTACTGTTGTTTCATTGGTTGTCTCGTCTAAGGCCTACTAAAGCCAAAAATCAGTCTACCATTCTCCAAGTAGAACTTCAAAACAATTTTATTAATCTTATCTTGACCGTAGGATCATTAGATTAAAGGAAGATTTACATACACGCCCTTAATTTTTAGGTATTTACATATTTGCACCTAAAATTCAGGTTTATATATGTCACTTTATCTATGTATGGAAAGATATGTAAATGTTAAAATAAGCATATTTTTATGTGATGCTGAATATAGAAAATAAAGGTTGGGTGGGTTAGATAAATAAATACGTAGAAATTGGGTGTTATGTATGTTAAATGGCTCTAAATTAGAAATATGTTGAATAAATTTTATGATTT